GGATGAGAGAGAGGAAAAAAGGGCAGCTACAATGTGACAGACAACACAGCCGCTCTGCTCAGAGCTGTAGTGGATATCAGTGAACGGAGGGAGGGCAGAGGCGAGCCAAGCAGAGCCGCATGCTGGCTGTGCAGCAAGGCGTGCGGGATCTAAATAATGAAGCGACGGCCAGCAGCATCCAGACAGCAGCGAGGCGGTGTTTAGGTGAGGCTTTGTTTGCGCTCTTTGATTTTCATGCAGATCTGCATGGCTGGGTTTGTTGAGGCGCTTTGTTTCTGGACGCGGAACAATTGTAAGCGGTGATGTTAAAGCTCGATGCTCAGATTATAAATCCACAACTGGATGTTTTTGTTTTTTTTTTTTCAATGTTTTTGCAACATATAAGGCGGGTTGTCTTCCTGTTATTGTTCTTATCCACAGTAACAATGGTTGAGTTCTGTGCGTTTGGGCTCAAAAGACAAATGGTTCAAGCAAAGAAGAGGCGGCGGAGACACAAAACGAAAAAGTGTTTACTGTTTGGCACTTATATGTACGAAGACATAGATTCATTATGTTTTTTTTTGTTTTGTTTGTCTTTTCTTTTTTTTTTTCTTTTTTTTTTTTGTATTTACTGAAGAAAGTGACTTCATTGAATGTACACAGTGAAGGCAGGTCCAGCCCACTTCAGTGGAACTTAAGGAGATGCTGTTGGTTTTCCTCTCTGCATTTTAAATATAAATAAGTCCTGTAGTGATCTAATAAAGTGCTGCACTTTCATCTTTTATTTTTTATTTTTATTGGTCTCAGACACTCTTAACTGTAAGGCAAGGTCATTTTACTCACTCGCATCCAAAACCAGTACTGGAAACCAAACCAACAAAATACTAGTGGCTGTTCAGTTTTTAAAATACAAAAATGCCTGTAGTTTTTATGTTTTTTATTTTATTTTTTAAATATGTTTTAAATGTGTGTGAAATATAGGCCTATAAATTAAATGTAGCTAATGAATATTTGGCTAATTGATTAATCTATCAGTTTTTTTTTAAATAATTGTTAAATAATGAGATGGCAAATCTTGAAGATGATCAAACTGTGCCAATTCTGAATGGGATAAATTCACGACAAAAAAAAAAAAACAAAAAAAAAAAAAAAGAAAAAAGGTTTTTCATCTTGAAAGCAAAATGAAGGCGAAACGAACATTTCGATTACTAAATTAGTTGATGATAATTTAATTTATTTTATACATAAATAGTAGTTTTGTTCTTTCAAAAACAGATGAAATACTGAACTATCTAAGTAAATGGCTACTAGCGGTGGTGAGATGAAGCCTCATGAGGCATTGAACCATTTGGCCATTTGCTTTAAGGTACACCGTGCAATATTTCTATTTATAATTTTTTTTCTGAGCGATTTTCCAGTCGTGCAAGAATTTTTCGGTCGGGCCAACTTTCAGCCTGATGGTGAGTCGTGTAGTGTACAGGGGGTTACGAGGGGCGATCAGCCTCTTACGACCACCAGGAATCATGACAAAAATCAAACATATTTGATTTTCTCCCGACCGTCGTGGGCAAATCGATCAGTGGGCAAACAAGGATTCTTCTGTTTCTTCTTCCTCTCTGATGTAAACACAGAAGCATGGCAGGGGTGCAATGAGTGAATTTAAGTTCTTTCTGTAAAATCGACAGACCGCAGTAGCCACATTCGCTCAGCCATGTCTTTGTCCAAATATGTCGTCGCCATTTCTTTTTAGGGCTTTCAGCGCAAAATAGCACAAATTGCCAAGGCAGCGCGGTTCATTATAGTGAGCTTCATATTCCTCTTCTCCTCGTTTGGCTTCTGGATAGAAGAGTCAGAGTTGCTCCATCTCACTGCGGAGCTCAGTCCAACGTGACAATACCAATACAAATTAGTCACCATAGCCAAAATGCTTAAGTATTATCGCAACTTTCAAATGTCAAAGGTGGGTCTCAAACCATCAACCTCAGGAGTGGAGGTCAATGACTTACTGCTGACACCACTAGCAATGGTAACTGCCCATCAGAAAGCCATCGTGGGAACGGCCACTCCATTACTAAACACACGCCTCAAGCCTCGGCTCATCTCATAACATCACTAATGGCTACTAAAGGCAAATATATTAACTAATTATGCGGTTGCTTATCATGATGTAAACTGTTGATGAATTCAGATGGCTTTCATGTTTTCCTGTCTTTAAACAAAACTGTTTAATAATGAAATATAAGACGGTTGATATTGATGGATGAGTAAATCAATGAAATAGACAAAAAAATCAGAATGCATCGGTTTTCATACAATATATTAAGAATATCATACATTTTGTTGTAAAATGAACTAAGGGTCAATAAATTATAAAGATGATAAAGTGTTTGTTTCCAAACATTATGTTTAAATCACACTGAATTTTACCTTTGACTTCAGATAGTGTAAAATGCTTCTATGCTTCCAGTTTAGGAACACTGTCAGTATTATTATAGAAATACATAGATAGATCTACATCAATGCATGGAGTAAATGGTCCAATAACACTAATTCAAATTAAACCATCAATCCACCATTATTTTTTAAGATACACTTTAATTCTTAAATCCACAAGGTTTTATTTTATAAACAAAATTATGAAATTATATTTGAGTTGTTTCTTGCAAGTCTACATCATTTGAAATGATTGTGTCAGATAGGCACATGATATTTCTTTATTATTTAACGTAGACTTGTGAATTGAAGGGAAATTATTTCCTTACAGACTTTGATACCAGCAAATATTGTATCATCAACCAAGCAAAGTGAACAGATACTATATGTGGTAAAAGTTGGTGGTTTGCACCTCTAGCTATCAATGAATTTGTGGCGGTCTTTCCCATCTCCATGTGTCTCTCTTTTTGTTAGTCTTAGTTGGTGTGTACATGTATCTGCAAACCTTACCCTTACTTTGCTGGTTGGCATCACAAACAGTATGCTTCTATCCCACCACCTATGCTTTCCCACTGCGCTACAAATGGAAAGAAGCTATTTCCTGCGGCAGAGTGTGCGCTACAGTACAGTTGCTTTAATTGATCAAGTTGTAGAAATGTTTCCATCTATATTTTCAAGTATTGTAACAACGATTCTAAAATCAGAATTTTGATAATGTCTACGTTACTGAGAAAATAATACTATCAAACAGCTTTTCTTGTAACACTATAAGGAAATCATTCCTTATTATTCACTATTGTCCAGACCTATCATATTTTTTAAACTTCATTTTCTTTGATATATTTGTTTGCATATTTAGTCTAAAAGAATCTGTGGGAAAATACTAGTGTTGCGTCGAGGCCAGTTTTTGGCCCCGATACCTGGCTATGCAGTATTGGCTTATACCGATACCATCTGGTATTTATGAAGAACTGCATACTACTTGGATGTAAAATAATTGCCATCATGGCTTTGTCTAGCTGCTGCCTACCTTTGTGAAGCAGAAAAAAGACTAATACAAAGTGATCCAGTAGAACTTTTTATTGTTTACCTGGAATGGGTGACAATAGCTGAATAAACTTTTGGCTCTCAAAATGGTATCGGTGCCCTATTTGTCGGTACTCGCAGATACCGATGCCACCATTTTAGTGCAGTATCGGGGCTCCGTCCGATACTGGTATCGGTGCAACACTGTAAAATACTAAAAGTGCACCTGCAGCCATAGTTCATTTAGGTTGTAGAATTAGTTGCCCCTATAGGAGTATGTAAAAAGGAAAATATTTCATGAACTCTTTGCCCCTTATTATTATTATTTTTTTTAACAGTCAAAAAATAAATAAATGAATTAAAAAATAAAAAGCAAGCTAAGAGTCAATATGAGGACCAACACATCATAAAGTTTGCTGATGCCTGTGATTATGTCTCTGGTTGATGAGCAGGACTCTGACCATGACTCTGTGGTGGAAGATTGTATTTCCTGATGTGCATAATAATTTCCAAAGCTTAATGTCTTGGAGACCAAGAAATCTTGATTTTCTTTAGGACTTAGCTTCCGTTATGCCCTCTGGTTTGTATTTATGGATAGTCTATTAATGTTGGAGAACATAACAAATGCCTCAGTGCAGTTATTGACAAAAGCTAATAAAAATGCTCTCTGTAGTTAGGCTCATTAGCATATGTATTTTTATGAAAAAAGTTCAATCTCTTTTTATCGAGTCAGTTGTTTTTTTGTTAGTTTATCTGAGTTTTTCATCCTGAAAATCTCCCAGCTCCATTGAGTCAGACGCTGTTGCATACCACCCTCTTCAACATAATTATGGGTTGCTGACATTTATTTGTAGACATGGTGATGACATACGATACAAAAAGGTGCCAATGTTAATTTGTCCTCTTTAGAGTCAGCCTCATCTGTTTTTTTTTTTTAAAAACTCCCCCAACATTTATCTTTTGGTTGAAAATTTTGTAAAAAAAAATGAAATGTCCCATAAAACGAGTCAACAGGCTTTTTTGTGTGTATTGTTTTCATTACAGTTTGTTTTGAGAAAATCTAGTGTAATCTAAAACATGCTAAACCATATAACCAACTAGAAGCTGATACAGTCGCTAATTAATAAAGAAGAATAAACAGGAAAGTGCTTGGTTTTACCACCTTACTTTAACTTGAGAGCTGTGGAAGCATTTACAATCTGGGGTGAAACACAGGTATGCCAAAAGCACAGGCTATTCATAGTTTCCGGTTTATTCTATGTGCACTGACTTTTACATGTTCCTTTGAAGCACTGTGGCCGGGTTGATATCAGTCTTGGTGATCTGAACATCTTCCTGTCATGGAAACACTTCATCAACAAAAAACCACTTGTGATAAGGACAGCAGATTAAAAAAGAAGCTTGTTACAGCTACTCTCACCCACAAATTACAGTAATTTGTTGGATCATTCTGAAAACAAAGAAAGTAGTCAAGCTTGAAATGTGAAAAATATAACTATTAATGTCAAGATTGGTTTGAAAGTGACTTTGTTAGCCCTTCAGTAGAGTTTTACAGTTTAATTGACTGGACAGCAGTGTAGAATCTTTTTCACCTCTTCCTCTGTAACACACTACTAGTAGAAAACAATGCCTAGTCAATGCTCCTGGCTATAGCTAAATGTCTGCCTTGCAGATTATTTCATATGAAATGATAGTGTGTTAATGTTTATTTTTTTGTGTGTGTGTGTGTGTGTGTGTGTGGTCAGCTGTCCGGATACCGTCCGTTA